GATCTCTTTTTTCCTTTATCTTTTTTCCATCTCTTTGCCATACCTAATACAGGAGTTTGTAGTAAGAAAAAAAAAAGGAAGAGAAAAGAAGAAAAAATAGAAAAATAAAAAAAAGACAAAAAAATAAAAAAAGAAAGAGAAAGATAGAAGATGAATGTCGATGAATCCCACAAGCACAGATATCACTTCATTAGTTTAATTAATTCCTGGCAGGATGAAGGTAGATGAAACGAATGACTTTTGACGAATCCTTCTTGTTGTACCACCAGCAGAACCAGCAGCAGATGCCGATACCGGACCCTTCCATTAGAGGTATTGAATTCCTCCTATGCTCTTTGACTTCTATACGATCCAGTCAACCACCTTCTCTCTTCGTTCGTTCATTCGTTCGTTCGTTCGTTCGTTCGTTCGTGTCAAACCAGTCTTAGAGAAACCACAAAATTCGAATGAAGTCACTGGTTGAATTTAACAAGTGAGCTAATAGTTGATCTGAACACCAATGTGAGAAAAATTATTTCATCTTCCTTAACTCTCTTTTATTTCCTAAACTATTTTATTTCGTTGAATGTGAAAATCTCCAACGTAATGCCGAAATATATATAGAAACTTTTCTTCTTTTACTATTCTCTTCCTATTTCCCATTTACGTCTACGTATAACCCCCTTACTTCTATCCCCCTTTCCACCTAAGTCGAACGGCCGTAGGTCATGTCGGACGGGCGCATACATCAAAGGACTCGCCGTCTAACGGGAACCCGCTAAAGTCCAAGGGTGGGTATTCTAAAAGGATGATCTTTGCCCAAGGCTCCGAATAAATCTGTCGTTTTAGCTGTCCCTTTGGCTAAAAGCAAGATTTTTCTTATTCTACCTATCTTTTTAACTCTCAAAAGAGCTCTGTAAAGGGTAGTCCAAGTGAAGTTCCGTGTTTAAATGTATTGACTTTGATCGATTTTCACTTCGATCCAATTTGAGATACTATTGATTTTACATTATATACATGGTATGTGCATGCTCACGTATTTGTATTAGTGTACGTCTGTGAAATGAATATGAATTAACGGACTATTCTGTGCCTATGTTCTCTCTCTCTATCTATCTCTCTCTTTCTGTCTCTCCCCCTCTCCTTTCTACTGGTGAATACCGTTTTGCAAGCTAATTATGAGAATCGGCTGTGCAGCATGTAATTAAGTGGGCCAACGTCGGGAATTAATCTCCCTGCGCGTTTCATTCTAATCGGATTGTGGTGTACGTACGATGGATTCATTCTCCAAAACGTCAACAACAATTTATTTCTAAATCTAGTTTTTTAAATCCAGAAAAAAAAATAGATTTCAAAAGTTTCCAATCAATTGTAAGATGATGTAATTTATTCTTCAACAATGGCAAATTGATCGTGACCATTTACAACATCACCTTCGCTTTTCGATTAATTTTCCTTGAAGCAAAATGTCGTGAAACGATTACGACCTCGCCGTCGTTTTACCATATAAATTAATTCTAAAGGATATTTCTATGGTTCTACGCGTATATGTAGTTATTTATGAGATGAATGCGTTTGACAGAATGTCAGCTAATCGCATTCGTTACTTTAAATCGTACCTTTACTACCACTGTTACAATCAACATCACCGTTTCCTCTACTCGTCGAGAAACTCTTTCTCTGTCTCATTCTATTTAGAATATAATCCATTTATATTTTGTCGAGGGTTTGTCACCACAGATAATTGTTTTCGTCGTACCGAGAAAAGTAAAAGGAAAGATAAAAGAGAAAAATGAAAAATTAATAATTTTGAACTTTTTCGACAAAAATATTTCAAAAATATACGAAAATATCGTTCAGATAAAAAAAATATACATGTAGATCGTAAATTTTATTTAGCATGACATTTTTTCTAAAATAGTTTACAACTGCTGTTAGAGATTTATTTTATCTTTCTTTTTCTTCTTTCCATGGGTTTCCCTTAAATCGATTTGAGGTTTCAAAATTTGATGCAATTTTCCTCGCAATAGCAAGTTTCTTTTTTCTTTTTTTTTTCTTCTTCTCTTTCTTTCTACTATACGTATTCCCGATATTTCTGCGTAGCACGTGCAACCCAAAAGAAGAAGGGAGAACAACCCTCAAACACGAGGATTATTCGGGATTCGTTCGTATCCGGATACGACGATTCGGTAAAACAGGACATTACAATGCGATCTGTGTTACCGACTGAGAGGGAACGTGACAAGGTATTTTCAAACTGTGATGCGGCTATGTAGTGTTAGGGTCGTCAAGGGTTGTATGGTTTGAGGAAGGATTTCAAGGTGGTTCCTTCATAAATATTTATAAGGGATTTTGCAGTTTTGTCCTGCCAGTTTGTTCCTCACTAGTTTTCATCTTCCTTACTCTATTCTTCTTTCTTTTCTCTCTCTCTCTCTTATCCTTCACCCTAAACTTAAGCCCATTTAACACCTTTCCCTCGTAGCGCATGTGACTTTAGCGACAGGTATGGACAAAATATGAACTACAAGCGCTATAGGAAAACTCTGTTAACACTGTACGTCTATTATATCAGTGTGTAAATTTGTGTAAGTTATAACTTACCGACCCACCCCCTCCTCTCCACTCCTCTGTCACTAAACGAGAAAACTAAAAATCTAAGAAAAGCAACATAATGTGTAAAATATAATAAACAAAAAATAATAGCAATAAAAGTAGCAAAAAAATCACTTATGCATATCTTGTAATCTGAAATATTTGAATATGACGATGAACATAAGGTAAAATAAATAAAATATTATATATAATCTGAAAAGTCTAAATAAAAATAAGTAAGAATAATAGAGAATAAATGAGAACAAATAAACATAATAAAGAAAATGGAATTTTTTCAGTGCGTTTTTCTAAAAAATTATTTTTACACTACACTATATTTATCTATTGAGAAACATTTACCAATGTAAAATGTGTAAGTACTTTAAGATTTAGTCAGAAATAGGAAGTAATGATTATGAAAACCCACTAAAATATACAGTCATTCGCCCGACATTACTTACATCGCATTGGATTTCCACATGTTGCAAGTAATACCAATCCAGATCTCACCATATAGAAGTTGCTGCACTATAAGAGCTACAGGTTAAAGGTGACTCTACCTTAAAATTAGGCCTCACTTACAGATAACAGGAACAACGCAATATCAGAAGCTTCGATCAACACTATTGAGCACAACCAATCGTGCTTTCGAAACTTCAAATAATAAAATGTAATCAACGGTAGGATTTAATAGTGGCCGCGAATGTCTGTGCCGGTCGGTACACAAGTAAGAATACTCCTTATCCTATCCGTACGAAAGAAAGGAAAAATTTTCATTCTGTATATAATGCGGAAAGGACCCAAAACTCTCATGTAAAAATGTAATCCCTTGACGATAAAAGGAACACCTTGACTATTCGGATAATTGGATGATCGTCGAAATATCGAATCCCTGCCAACAAAAACCTCCAATGACGATGAATTCATCACATGATGATACCACGCAGAAAAGAAAAAGAACGTCTTCGAGAATGAAAACAATAGGATTCATAATGAAAGGGAATAGAAATAATGATAAAAACAAGGTTATAATAACAATAATAACAATAATAAAGGTGAAGAGAAGATAAGAAACATTTACACCAAATATTCTTACTCGCCTACTGTTACCATCGGTCGGTAACGAGGGAATCTACTATTACCGACCGGGGGTCGGTAAAACAGAAATCTACTGTTACCATCGGTCGGTAACGAGGGAATCTACTATTACCGACCGGGGGTCGGTAAAACAGAAATCTACTGTTACCATCGGTCGGTAACGAGGGAATCTACTATTACCGACCGGGGGTCGGTAAAACAGAAATCTACTGTTACCATCGGTCGGTAACGAGGGAATCTACTATTACCGACCGGGGGTCGGTAAAACAGAAATCTACTGTTACCATCGGTCGGTAACGAGGGAATCTACTATTACCGACCGGGGGTCGGTAAAACAGAAATCTACTGTTACCATCGGTCGGTAACGAGGGAATCTACTATTACCGACCGGGGGTCGGTAAAACAGAAATCTACTGTTACCATCGGTCGGTAACGAGGGAATCTACTATTACCGACCGGGGGTCGGTAAAACAGAAATCTACTGTTACCATCGGTCGGTAACGAGGGAATCTACTATTACCGACCGGGGGTCGGTAAAACAGAAATCTACTGTTACCATCGGTCGGTAACGAGGGAATCTACTATTACCGACCGGGGGTCGGTAAAACAGAAATCTACTGTTACCATCGGTCGGTAACGAGGGAATCTACTATTACCGACCGGGGGTCGGTAAAACAGAAATCTACTGTTACCATCGGTCGGTAACGAGGGAATCTACTATTACCGACCGGGGGTCGGTAAAACAGAAATCTACTGTTACCATCGGTCGGTAACGAGGGAATCTACTATTACCGACCGGGGGTCGGTAAAACAGAAATCTACTGTTACCATCGGTCGGTAACGAGGGAATCTACTATTACCGACCGGGGGTCGGTAAAACAGAAATCTACTGTTACCATCGGTCGGTAACGAGGGAATCTACTATTACCGACCGGGGGTCGGTAAAACAGAAATCTACTGTTACCATCGGTCGGTAACGAGGGAATCTACTATTACCGACAAATCTGGTTAAGTAAATAGTAATTTACTATTTCCAAATCATGCCCGTAAAGATAGAACCTATTATTTTTGACACATGTCAATAAGATATACGATTTATTTTATAGTGCGAACTATTTTGTCAACAAGAGGAAATACGACATATGTTGCTTTTATTTTTTAAGTATATTTTATATTGTAATCATCTTTACCAACAATTATATCTCTTATCTACTTCTTATCGGTCGTATGCTTATCTTTAAAAGGCACAATTCTGCTTTTCGCTTATATATTACCAGAATTCATAAAACAATATATTAATTGTTAAACGATGTGGATGTTAAAAAATATTATCATAATACATGTATCATTTGAAATTCATGGTGTGGCGTTCTTTTCCGACTTTCTTTAATGTAGTTATAATAATCAACGCAGCAACAATAATGAATTACGGGTTCATTCTCGACGGGCTGAAAAATTTTAATAAAATACAATATTAAATCAATGATTAAGTGATATTGTTCTGTTAAACGTTTATGCTTATATATAACTTACTATAAAATCGGTTAAACTTATAGAATGAAGTTTGCCTAATTCAGGAATGGGTTCTAATTTCCCTGGTCTTTCTGTTGTAAGCGATGCCAGAGTATTTTCTCCGATTATCTCGCTATTCATACTCAAATTTGAATTGCATTTGGATTCATTGTCCGGTAATCTTCCAAATTTTCTAATCTAGAAAATTACTATAGCAATCATACTATCGTATATATCACGTATATCGATGACATACAATATTCTTTTTCTTTTTAAGTTTGATTTCTCATATACTATTTTTACTAAATGTTATTTATAACTATTTTTCTTTTTTACATCATAATCATATAACATGATTGGCCTACTTGAAATCATTACATATTATGAGTTCTACTGATAAACGGTATATCTTATAGCTTTTATGTTACTTTTCCTTTTTTTCTTTTTTTGTTTTTTTTTTATACGAATTCATACCAACCCATTGCCATAAATCGAAGAGTAGCCATCCTTGTAGAAGATAAAGAGTCATGACGAGGATCGATAATATACACATGCAGAAATTATGAACGAACATAGGATGATTGAGTAGCTGTTCGTCAGTGATCTCTTGAAGATCTATATACTGTTCGACTTGTTTCATTTCCATAATACCAACTGAGAGCATAGAAATTGCACCAAAAATATATCCGATAAGAACCTAAGATGCTTGTGATTAAAGGAAAAAAAAGAAATATTAAAAAGAAATGAAAAAAAATAATAAAAGAAAAAAAACGCATCTGGATAATTCGTTCAATTTGTGATATATTATAATTAATCGAGGAGAAAAGAGACTCACGATTATAAGCCTTTCGGGTATGAATCTCTTCTTTAACCAAAGAATAGCACAAATCAAGCTCATCAGCATACAAATCAAATAGAAAGAGAAAATGATATTCATTTCTTTTTGTAAAATCGGCAAATTTTCATTCGCTTCACGACGACTACGACGATGCGTGTTATAATGAATGTGATGAAAGATCTTGATGGCTAATATGAGAAGCTTTGAAAGAGAGAGAAAAAGATAGATAGTGAGAAAGAAAGAGAGGAAGAAAAAAAAGAAATGAAAAAACAAGATATATGATGAAAGAAACATTATTAAATCGCTATTTATAAATAAAGACGTTAATAACGAGGCCAATGATCAAAAGAAAAATACTTTCTTAAATCTCAGTGATGATTTTAAAACGTTAAAAACGAAACACGAAGAGTAAGATTATAAAATAAATTGTCTTCCTGAAACGATTAGAATTTGTCGTCGTTCAATTCAGTTGGAATGCGTGTGGACGTACAAACGAAATTGTTTCGAATTACATAAAATTGTGGATGAAACACGTGCGATTTCTGATTCACCTTCGTTCGTATATACATACATACATACATGTATACACACACATATATATATATGTATTATATATGTGTCCATTTGTTCGTTCCTCTTGAAATCGGGTCAACTCGCTTCCGCGTTTTCTTTGCGTTCGAACTATAGTCGAGTAGCACAAGCTATTACACGACATACACACATACGTACAAAAATGCACGCACAAATATACTTATACATATATATATATATATATATATAATTTATATGTATGTATATATATATATATATATATATATATATATATATATATATATATATATATTGTACATATACATATATATATAAGCGACCCAGAAGTCGTAATCTCGATGCGTCAAACGTTCCAAGTATGTCCGAGGATCTTTAAATTCGTGCATCGTGACGTAATAAAATATGATAAGTGCGTTCTCTAGTTTCTTTCTTTCTTTCTACTTTTTTCTTTTTTCTGTTTCTTTTTTCTTTTTCATTCCTTCCTCTTTGAGATTAGTAATTTAGTTCAAGTCAAAACATACACGTTGAGCTTTTAACTTAATTATTATTGTAACCAATAAAATTTCTCTCTCAACAATTATATCACGTTCTTTATTATATATGTATATATTATATATATATATAAAATTTTGTTGGTTACTTTATAGATATTTTATTTTTATTATGAAATAAAATTTTATATATATATATATATATATATATATATATATATATCTTACAAATTGCCCAAAATTCAAACTAGCATGCACGATGTGGGAAAGTTTCTTGTTCCTTTGAAATTTATGATCACTTCTATGATAAATACTCGCGATTTTAGCAATTTCACGAAGTTTACTTGAATCATAAACATTTTTATCTTTCATCACATCAGAAGTTTTATTATCGTTAATTTTCATCGACATATCGATGATAAATGAATATAATTTTTA